CGGCAAGAAATCGGGGCAACGGCAGAACACACACGCGATCTCCTTGGTACGTTCATGGGGAGGCCCCGTACTCAGAAGGCCACTAATTTCCATGGCGAGGCGACTGTGCAGATTGGTCCTCTTGTATTAGCTCAAAATACCTGCTATGATGGGATCAGAAGTTCATGGATTAGTGGGCCTCTCAAATTTGGTCAGTTAAGACTCTCTATCCAGTTTCAACATTCTGACTTTTTTCCAGCATGCAGTCATGCCCCCTCTAAAGAACGTTCAACCGCAAAAACATGCATCTCAGAACAGACACATTAAGGAGATCTTATCTGCATTATAAAAGGCTTGCCTTTGATTAAAAAGTTATAGGATGCAGTTTAAATTATCACTTTCACAGAAATTCAAACTAAATGTAATGTCATAAAAGCACTTGAGCGGTCAACGTGAGTTGCATCTGTATAATTAATACACAAATACATTTTCATTGCTGTCAATACAATTTTTCCTCTTAGAAATCTAAAAAATCAGTGTTTCTTATTTATCAAAAGAGTCTACGGATATAGATAGATAATGGAGAGATAATAGGTAGGTAGGTAGGTAGATTGCGAAGTGAAATACAACAAATATGAATTATTATTTACATACTAGTACAAAGCAAGAAGACTCCACCGCGTTTGTGGGCAGGCAAAGATGACACCTAAAGGTAAGGACGCCTGTTAGGTCAATGTGCTCGTCCAAAGGATGGAAGGAAGAAAGAACTGGGGCCATTTATCCGTGCTTTGCACAAGCAAAGGGTACAATTTTATGAGCTGCAAAAAAATGCACACTGCGTACTTAGATTCAAAGGCAAACATTTATGCTCACTCCTGTGGTTTAAACGCTGCACAACCCATAGAACAACCGAACTTTCATGTAAAGGGACAGTCTCTCTTCCAGAAAGGAATTAAATAAATAGATTTTATGCATGTTTCCAAGATCTATTCTCCTTCCTTTTATTGTTGGTTCGCCCTTTCGGATGTGGGTCCCCTTCCAGCCCTAAGCCTGGGGCTGCAGAGAGCTCGCCTGCGTCTGGGTTCAGAGATGGCCCCTTTTTTCTACCTTTCTTTTCTTTTTTATGCACAAAATGTCTGCCAAGCCCGAGCACGCCGCAGATCAGGTTTCTGCGTCTGCGGGGGGCGCTTCCCGGGCCGCCGGCTCTGGGCAGGGGTTTCCAGCCGCCTGGTGGAATTACAGTCCGGGCGCGGCGCGGGCGGGCGGGAGGCGGCCTTTGTCCCGCGGCCTCCCCGGCCGTCTAATCTTATCGGGCGCGGCATTGTCTCCGGCGGCGGAGCAGGTACAGTACTGCTTTTGTTCCAGGGCGGAGCTGCGCTGAATCAAGTTGAGGGAAAAGCCAAGACTAAATAATATTCTTTCAGAGCCTCATGTGCTGATTGAAAAAAATGCTTTGAAAGGGGGCGAGAGGAGGCGGGCGGGAGGGAGGCAGGTAAGCGCCCAGCAGAAGCCTGGCTGCCGCGGCCGAGGCTGGGGAGCCGCAGGGAGCAGCTGCTCGGAAACGCTCTCCTCCCGGCCGGCCCGCAGAGCGCACCGCCTGCTTTTCTTTGGCGTCACAGAATCATAAAATCCAGGAAACATACTTTGCCCGGCTCTTCTGTTTGAAAGGCTACTTTTTAAAAATAGCGCGTAGCGACAAAGCGTATTTTCTGTTGCACAAATAAATACCCCTCAGCCTGGTTTGTACCCAGGGTCTCCGGTGGATGTGCCCATCCCTTGAATACGCTAAAATATAAGTTGAAGAGTCTTTGTCACAAGGCTGGACGTTGTCGTAGACCTAAGGCAAGTAGGTAGTAATAAATCCAAGTTCAAAAAAGCGTGTCCTGACCAGCTCTGAACAAAGACAGACACTATAATTCTAACCACCACAACAATGTAATTATCGGCAAGAAGAGAACCCCCCGTTTTCCATGTGTCAATAAAGATTGCAAGTTAATTCAGACAGAAATAATTGGCATTAAGACTTACAAGGGATCCCATTATTGTAATTTGAAAATTAAGATGAAAAGTAGCTTGTTCAAACATGTTCAGTTTTTAAATCCGGCGAATTAACCTCAGCTACTCTTAGACATACGCTGGAAAATAAAGTTTCTACCCAAAATGACTGGTGTGAATTCTTATCACTTACAATTGCATTATATTAAGCTAAGTGAAATACGTTTTCTGAAGCTCAAAAAATATTTTTCAGTTTGTGCTCGCAGAATATTAAAACCCCAAATGAGGGAGCCTCCTGATCCACAGCAACCCTACAGGGACTTCGCTGTCTGCGATTCTCGTGTTTTTTAGCTTCAGTGTATATGATTATAATAGTCCATTTTAATATGATCCAGAAAGTACCTCAGGCTGTGTGTTATGGAGGGGTGTGACGATAAATCCTGATTAAATACATTTTCAGTGAGAGGCTCTTCCTCCATGTCATACTTAACTGCGAAACAGACAACTGCCTTGACCCTTTCCCAAACCCTGGTAGGAGAAAATGAAGATCCAACAATTACAATGTAAGGGATTTTTAAATCACAAAGGTGCATTTTGTATCTTGATAGAGCACTGTAATCTATGACAAAAATTAGCATTTACATTATTTTTGATAGATTAAAATCAAATGCATACTAGTTGAATATTTTAAGTTTATGCGTCAAGTTTTTAGCTGTCACAGTTTCTTCTTACGTCCGTTTGTTGCGTTAGGTCATAGAATTATCAAACAGCGGCAGTGTAATCATCACGCCAAATTGCTAAAATGAATTATAATCAGGATTTTATAATAGTTTTCTTTAAATCAAATGCAGTCAGGTATTCTATATGCATTTCGTCATTTGATTGCATTTCAAGTGAAAATCTATTAAAAGGAGTGAAATGTCACGTCCTTCCCTGGATCATTCTTTAGAGTAAAACTTTGTATGAGCTACTTGCATGCACTTGCATTCCCTTCAGTTCCTCAGTTAGAAAACTTTATCACATCCCAGGATCGTCAAAAATCACCTACTGCTATTAACGTTACATTATCTTTTATAATTTGAGTATAGAAATCAAGAAAAAAGTATACATGCCATAATTATAAAAACCAAATTTTCTAAATGTTCACTTAATAAATTTCAAAATGGGGTTTAAAAATTATTTCATGGTCCCTTAGAAGACCCTTTCCATGCTTGATCTTTACCCTAAATATCTTTTTTTTCCCCCTCCTAAAAACTCTTACCCTTCTCTGTGGTACTGGGTATTGTCTCAATATTCAGCAACAGCGTTGAGATTCCCAGGAGATATGACCTCATGGTTCTCACTGCTAGTCATACTAAATAAAGGCGTCCTCACTGTAAACATTTTATATAAATGGGGAAGTAGTTGGGTACTGGTTTTTATTTGCTTACCAAATTCCAAATTATGTGTTTATTTTTACCTGCCTTAAATCATTTCTGTAATCTTACTGAATAAACTGTACTTCACTCCCCCTGCTCCCCACGCTGATCCCCTGCTTCGTGCTAACGATGCGCCAGGGCCTTGGGTGCGAGGCGGCGGTGGGAGAGGAGGGGAGGCCCGAGAAGGAAGGGCTGGGGACCCCCTTCTGGATGTCAGCTCTGCTCACTCACCGGCGCGAAGCGTCACGGTCTCTGTCCCTCTGCTCCCGGGCTGTCCTCCCTGCTGCTCAGCTGTGGGCAGCCGGGACGGCGGAACCCGCGGGATCGATTACAGCCGGGGAAGGCCCGGGAAACACGGCCGCGTCACTTTCCCTGCCTCTGGCTCTCCGCAGCCGCCCGGGCGCCTTCGGCAGCGGCCAATGTGCAGTCCTGCTGTATTCTATCTGGGAATGGTTAAATCCGAGCATCCTCAATTCCGAAAATAAGCAAACTGGCACGTAAGAAAATGAACTGCTTCTATCGTGCGCTATAGACAGTGATAGCCGCCCGAGTGCTAAATTAAAACTCAGGTCCCAAGAGGTATGCTAATTATTTGACTATATGCGAATTATTTGACTACCTTGCAGTTTTGGGGGGAAGAAGCTTCCTTTTTCGCAGCTTCTTTCCCCTCGATTTTCCTTAAGTTGTTTGCTTGAAAGGGTAGCTAATTTCGCTGTCTTCCCATTTACCGATTCATATTAAATTTTCACCTCCCGGAGCAGGCAGCCATATTCTCACCGATTACAGCAGGGTGTCTGCCAGGGACAGCGCCTCAGATCCGCCGGGAACATAGACGTGCGGACTCCTGCGAGGCTCGCACAGGCCCCAAGGACAGTCAGAACGACGGGTGACTTAGGACTTTTCAACTTGGTTAGAGAAAAGCTGTGGCTTTTGCTGAGCTTCAAGTCATGCACATCGAGGGCAAAGCTTCCGCATCACGTGCTGTGGTGCCCGTCGCCTACCTGCAGAGTTCCTCAGGCTGAGCCTCCTCTGCCAGGGCCCTACGCCACCCCCAGCCCCTCATGCTGAGCCAGAGAGCGGCCTGGGAGCGTGTCCAGCCACAGGCTCCGCCTCCCTCAAACTCAAGACACTGGGGAAGAGGGAAGTCAGGCCGGAGGGACAGGACTCAAGGCCCAGGGGCTCCTCCAGCTTGGCCCTTGTGGCTCGCTGTGTTTCAGTTCCGACGTGATGAAGAGATGCAACGGGCCGGTCGAGGTGTCTGGACTCTTCGCTCCCCCACCACCAGGGAAGACTACCCCAGAGTCTCAGTTCCTACCAAGCAATTCACTATTTTTTTTTTTTTTTTTACACCAAACATCATTCAGAAACTGGAAATATGTATTCCAAGGAAACATAAAAATAACACAAATTCCAAATTTAAAAATGCAGTCCTGATGCTCAGGCACACTGACAGAGAGAGTTACAATCTAAGCGGCCCACAGGGGCAGCTAGCCAAGGCTACGCCATCGTAGGGGTGCCGTCGGAGAGAAACAGGCTGTCCTTCTGCTCTCAGGAGATGGAAAGGCCAGACCCAAAGCCGACAGCCTGCGCCTCAGGTGGAGGCAGCCCTGCTCGCGTGAATGGCGGTGAACCGGGCATTTCCTAACGTGAGAACTGCTCCCAGGGACGCCAGGTAAGCAAAGCGTCACCCAACTCGGCCTGTGTTCAGTGGCGCTGCTCTAAGAAGGTGCCTGCTTCCAGATCCAGCGTCTGATTTATTGCGCGATTTTTCTTGCTGCGCTCGGCTTCTTTGTTCCATATCATGAATACAGGTTTATGTTATCTTTCTGGTCCCTTTTCAGATGCAGACAGACCTCTGTTCTCCAAGGAGACGACCGTCCAAAATGATTGATGTATTTGGTGATAAATTTGAGTCTTGGCGAGTTGAAAATAAAAGCCGGGCATGTCGTGGCTTTTTCCAGCCACGGTGTTCTGTCGGCCTCCCTGACATGGATTCTGTTCCGTTTCTCTCCATCCGCATAATCAAAGAAACGCGACCAGATCGAAAAGCCCCGAACGTGAAATCATTTCTCCGCCGTACAGCCTGTGGCTCCGCAGGGCGCTGTTGACGAGGCGCGTGCGCCCCAGCAGGCCGGCTTCGTCCAGAAAACTCGGGGGGCAGCGGAGCGGATGGAACGTTCTAGCATCGAAGCAGAAGACAGTGGGGAGGTTCCCTGCTTAAGTGGAAGGAAGACCAACGATCGCAGCGTTGCAGCTGCTTCACCTCAAGGAAACCTGGGCGTAATCAACTCCAAATTCTATTTTCAACCTGAGAACCATTAAAGGCGAGAGAAGTCCTCTTGAGTTGAACGAGGGCTTTGGGCGTCATTTATTCTGGCAGATGCTCGTAAGGGCCTGGCGCAGCCTGATCGGAGGTAGAAACGCGATCCTAGATACAAGACAGATTAAGCGCGGGAATTATTTGCCTTCTCACTTCTTATGTAGAATCCCGTTTTGTGTTGGATCGCTTTTCTTCTTGTTTTCTTCTTACCGCTTCCATATTATTTGACAAAATGTTTCACCTTGCCGATCCGAAGGTGCTGATCTATGTTGGAGGGAAATCTTCTTTCGGATGGATCCAGCCAGTTGTGTTTTGCTTGTGAGTGGACTTTAGGCCTCTGCCCACACCCCAGATGGGTTCAGCAGGGCTGCGATCAGTCGCAGTAGCCTGTTCGATGCTTTGGTCTAGACACCTCAGCAAGCAGCTCCGTCTCTGGCTTCCTCACAAAACCACCTGCAGTGGGGAACTGTCTGGAAGCTTCTCCAGAACCCAAAAGGCTCTGGCTGCCTACTTTTTAATCTCCTAACTTACTATAACTTCTACTATTTCTGAAGGAAATAAATATCCCTTTTATTAAAAAACTTAACGCTCACCCGGCCTGGCGTGGTTCAGCGGTTGAGCATCTACCTAGGATCCAGGAGATCGAGGTTCGATTCCCGGTCAGGGCACATGCCCGGGTTGCGGGCTCGATCCCCAGTCAGGGGCGTGCAGGAGGCAGCCGATCAATGACTCTCTCACCATGGATGTTTCTATCGTTCTCTCTCCCTTCCTCTCTCTGAAATCAATAAAGATATTTTTTTAAAAAAAAAAAAAGCTTAACCCTCAAAATTTTAAGAAAATGTTTCTTTTTCATCTAAAAGAAAATGCTTGTAAATTTTCAAGGTCATCGAAACATGACCAAAATTATATTCTGCAGAATAACTAGTTGGCTGGGTGGAAATGGAAAATGTAGTTTCTTCTCTGCCTCCCACACCCCATCCCTCACAGCATTCTGAAATCTAGTGTAAGTGCTGCAAGAGCCTTTGTAAAAAATAAAAGAAATACATTTCAATTGTTGTGATTTAGGAGAATATATCTTTCTTCCCCCGAGGGCTTAATGAATGCTCCAGCTCTCCTCCTGATTTTTAAAAAATGCATCAACAGCTTTGCTGAGGTTTGTTAGTCAGGTTTAATTTCTTAGTGATTTTAGCGGGTAGAGTTACTGTATTTGGAAAAGATGGAATTGTTTAGAAGGGTTTTCTCCCCCCTTAAACTATAAGACATGGAGCTTGATCATGGGCTGAGTTCCGATGGCTTTTACTGTCCACCCACCAAGCTGTTCACTAAAGAGAAATACCAAGAAGGAAAGAATAAAAGTCTGGCTTTGATCACATTAAAACGGGATGATTTATTCTGTTCTGTCCTGTAGGTGGTGACAGGGACTTTCGGAGTGCGGAGAGGCAAGCTGAGGCCCCGGACTGTCCTCCCCGTAGCATTTGCTCCAGGAAAGGTCAGATGTTCCCATTTTGCTCTGACAGTAACTGAAACAGATGAGAAACTGGGTTTATTTCACGTGAGGAAATCACCTTCAAACGAGACTAGGTTTGCCCTGGGCGGAGAAACAGCCAACATGGGATCCGAGACCCAGTGCTCGGCCCACAGGCAGCCAATCCCCTCTCCACCCAGCAGCTTCGGCCACTTCTGAACAGTGTGTCATGGAAATGTGAGTATAGGACAGATTTTAAGGACAAATGGGATATCCCTTACAAGCATTTCCATCCAGGTGGTCCCTGAGACGTGATAACGCAGAGGATCAGTATGTATTGGGGAAATTTTTCTCAACCAAATTTGGTCAAGCAGCATCTGACTTCAGATGACCTCCAGGCAGATTTCCCAGAGGAAGAAAAATCTCAAGCAGTGTCTGTTTCAAGACCATAGAGCGACTGTATTGTGTCCAAGGTCCCTGTTTGAATTCTGGCTCTGCCATGAATTGACTCAGGAAATATTTATTGAGAGCCCACTGTCTTCCAGGCATAATGGTTACCACTGGATGTGCAACAGCAAATGAGACAGCCCTTGTCCTGTGGGCTTCAGAGTCTATTTAAAAAGCCAGGCGAACAAATAGGCAATTATAACACAGGGTAACAAAGCTATGACAGGGAGGTGCAGTGCAGTGAGCCCCCGGGAAGAGCACCAATTCAGATTTCTATGGCTGCTGCAACAAATTGCCACGATGCAATGCTTAAAACAACACAGGTTTATTATATCACAATTCTGGAGGTTGGAAGTCAGCCATGGGTCTTGCTGAGTTAAAGCCCAGGTGTCAGCAGGTGCGTTCCTCCGGGAGGCTCCAGGTAGGACCCATGTCCTTGCCTTTTCCAGCTTCTAGAGGCCGTCTGCATTCCTTAGCTGGTGGCCCCTTCCCGTCATCAAAGTCACGGATGGCCAGTGGAGTCTCTCGTGCCTCATTTGTAAGACTGATTCCCCTACGTCTCTATTCCACATAGAAGTGTTCTTATGACTCCATTGCCTCCCCCAGATAATCCAAGATAGTCTCTCCCAGCTTATCAACCTGTATTCCGCCTGCAAGCGCAGTCCCTCCTTGCTCGGTCACATCACATAGTCACAGGTTCCAGGAATAAGCTTGAAATCCTGGACACCCCGGATGGCATTAGTCTCCCATCAAAAGCACCCACCTAGACGGACTGGGCGGAGGAAAGGCTTCTCACAGGCCGGAATGTGAGGTAAGACCGAGGGAAAGGGAATTTAGGTACAAAGGAGGGACTTAGCCGGGCTCGGGGTGTGAGGCCCTGTGGCGGGAGGGGGACAGTGAGGACATGGCCCAGGGGGAGATGTGAGAAAAACCGAGCGTGGCCTGAGCAGAGGCTGCCCGTCAGGAGACAGAGCCCACGGTTAAGCAGCGATGCAGGACCTTGGAAAGACGGCGTGAGTTTAGGGGACGTTACCGGAATCAGGCAGGTTGGGGGGAGGAAGCCGCAGGAACAGGACAGACGGACGCCCTCCATTCAAAATGACCAGTCACAGTTCCGATGTGAAGGAGAAGCGCAGAGGGCAGAACACGCGCACCAGGAGCCCTACCCGCAGCTGCGGGCCGGAGGGAACTTAGGAAGAAACGTCAGAGCTGAGATCGAATGAGAGGAGATCACGGGGTGCAGGGCGGGACTGCCCGGCGAGAGAACAGCGAGAACGCGGGGCCTGCGGCGGGAAGGAGCAGCCACAGGCCTGGGCCCGAGAGAGAGGGGGAGAGAGAGAGGGAGGGAGAGAGA